GGAGCGCAGACCAAAGTTCTGGCAGTCTGAAGGCTTCTCTCTGCTCTTTTCTGGGAAATACAACATGTGCTGCGAGGCCGACACCTGCAAGAGTGAGAGACAAAGTTGATTAGGAGGCATTTCAGATGATACAAACGTGTGTTTCAAATACTGTTCATCTGTGTAGAGTTGTGGTCATGTGCTCTGTGTGTCTGTTTTACCTGCAGGGGTTTGTGTTGTAGGGGGGCCAGCCCGGACGGCGTGTCAGCTAGTACGTTAAAATGAGGCGTGGGTGGGGGTCCCATGGGGAGGGGTCTGCTCTCTGCATCCACCTGGTAGTTGATCAAACCCCACTGCTCCAAAAAGGCATGAACCCTGCATGCAAAGAACATTTTTTCTTTTTACTGTTTTCCAGCTGTAAAACCGTCTCCAAGGATAGAAATATGTAAATAGAAGTCAGCATGCGTCGTAATTAAAAATAAAACCTTTCAGATTTCAGACCCATTAGGCACGCCACATACCATATTTCTTCCCAGCATTAACAGATTTAATTCATTACCACATTTACATTTCAGGACACCCACACACTTTACCTAATTTAGCAGATGCAGCAGACGTTGCATGGCAGCAAACACCCACATACTAAAACATACCTCATGACAGCACAGACGTCCCCGGTGAGGTTGCGCCTGCAGGACGTTGAACTGAGGTATTCCTGGGGGTTGAGCCGGTACGTGTCGGTCATGAAGTTACGGTACGCCAGGTAGCTACAGTGTGCAGGAAAAATCATGTTTTTAGTCTTCTCATTTCCATCATCTGATAAGATTCGAATAGTGAAGTCTGAATGTCTGCCATACTCACATTTCTGGAGATTTGGACTTGTTCTTTCCATTGAAGAATTCCGGCAATGCACGTTTCTCTATCGAGTGAATGCTGGAATACATAGAAAGGAAGAAAGATAAGTCTAGAATAAATGACACAACAAACAAAGTGTGAACATCTGTGTGTTTGTTTTATTTACCTGTTGTAATTGAACCAAGATGTGTAGCTTGGTATTATGATATGATGAGTTTGTTCTGTGATGTTGTCCTCTCCCTCTGACAGGCGAGGTATTTCCCCTCGCCCCTCCTCATCTTCCTAGACACACCACATACACATGGAGTATATTTAATAACAGTAACACTAGACAAGACGCTAATTGATACAGACTAACCAGCCCTCCTGCAAGACTCTGATTGAGAAAAATGACATCATATTCACCCTTCCTGGGAAATCATCTTCCGGTTCGTCTGGAAAAGGGAAAAGTGAAGGAAGGGTGAACACTCAAGGCGCACACAGACAAAAACAAAACATGTTTCATAGCGCTTAATGTTTTAAACTGGAAGAAATATTTAGACATTCCTCCTTAAACATTAGCTATAACACGTGTAAACCTACCCAGGTCAGCCATGGTCCCTCCTTTGACGGGAGTATTCTCACTGTCCTTCTTCAGGTTGACTACGAGAGATGGAGACACATTACAAATTGTCCAGATCAGAAATGCTACTTTACTGAATACTTTGATGTGACAATTCTAGTCTAGTCTTCTGTTTTAGTGTTTTACCGATTTTGGGAAGTATAACCTCCTCCATGTTAGGAACAGGGGTAGGGTCCTCCATGTCTTTGGTCAAGTCTTCTTCTGGCTCTTCCTCTTGTGGCCCTCGCCTTCTCCTGTGCACACACAAAAAGCAATGCTGAGGCTGCACAGTGAAATGCCAAATCTTCCTGTTTGGTTAAAACAGTTGTTTCTTACCCCTTCTTTCCTTTCTTCCTGCCTTCAGAGGAAGGAGGAGAGGGGGAGCGTCTTCTTTTTTTGGAGGGAGTGGATTTAGAGTCCTGCGACACAGGGTGGAGGGTAGACGAAGAGTTTAAGCATCATTAGCTGAAAAATCAAAGATCTCTGCACATTTTGAAAATGAAAGTCTCGTGCTTCACAGTTGCCTCCATTTTCCACCAAGAAGATCTGCATATCAATTAGAGAGGATTCCCTTCACAGGCCCTCCAGTTCGCCTACAACTTCACACAAACCTGGTCGTCTCGGAGGTGGATACGCTGGCGGAGAATGATTGGTACGTTCCTCTCATCCACACAATAGTCCTCCTCGTTCATCCATTCATTGAAAACGTCTGTGTCCAGAACCCAGCCAGCATGGACCTGGTGGAGCACACACACCCACAAAAAAATCTGTATGAATGCGGTACATGCTGGTGTATCTCATCAGGTGTCCAAAATGTCCAAAATAACAATAAAACTGACTTTGGCAGATACATCAAAGGCTTTACCTGTCAAGTGGACTGCTGAATATTTGAGATCAAATCCTATAAAAGCCTACATTATTTACATAGTCTCTAGTCTGTTCCTGTGAGCAAGCCAAGAGTTCATTTTCTGACATCCCAATATAATCTCATGTTGTGAAATGTCAGATATCGATTTATGGCTTGATATAGTAAATGTAGCAGAAAAAACATTGTTACGTAATCAAGTACATAGAGTGTTATAGCATTTGGTGTCGTTTTTTGTACATGTGTTGCTGTACTAACCCGCCACGGCTTTTCTGAATGTGGCGGCTCTTCAACCTCTCCTTCAACATCACTTGAGGACAGCCAACTGTCATAACTGTTGAAAAGTGACAAGAGACATAGTAAGTAAGTATTCTGTTTGTGTATGAGCATCTGTCTGTGTGTGTGTGTGTTTATGTGCTCGGATATTACCTGTCAGGGTGCATGCCCCAGTGTACCAAGACATGTTTATCTTTCCGCATGACAGGACGCATCCATTCATCTGAAAATAGATGTGTATGAAACAAATTATCAAGTTAAATAAGTATCAGGCAAGATATCAAACACAGATGCACTTTAAACTCAAACTAAACTGACCTTCTTCTGTAGATGCCGGTGAGGGGTAGATGTGGTGGCTGGCGAGTGTTCGGTCCACAGTGAGTGTACCCTGTGGAAGGACAAACTGTGAGACAGGAGCACTGAAATATAACTGCTTTATAAGAGCTACACTGGGTTTCATAGTCTCACTATTTTTTAATCACCCAGACTTGTCTCTGTATACTTTAACCTATAAACATCTTCTCCTTTATCGGGCCGTCTAACCCTCTTTCTGCTCATCTTTAACACTCTCATGTTACCTTCCTTCTGGGCAGAGACGCTAATTCATGTTGAATTGTTACAAATGAACTGTAAGTACAGATATTTAACACTCTTACACTGACCCACCGTTACAGTGTCAGCTTCTGTTGTGTCTGCTATATATGAATTGATTTTAATGATGTGTGACTGAGAGATGATGACTCTAATTCACAGAATCCAACCTGAAGACCTTTATTCCACAATCTACAATCAAGAAGTCTGAAAGACTCTATTAGTACAATAACCCTGTCTGAACAAGACTGAATATGAATTCATTTTCTTTGCTGAATGAATTTGTTTTCTGTTGTTGCTTCTTAGAGATCGGGGGTGGTGGGTGGAGGGAGGTTGGTGGAGAGGTAAATGATGCCAATCTAAACATTGTTTGCTACACACAGTCCATTGATGTATGATGAAATTACAGCTTCAGGGTAGCTCTGTGGATGTAAGCTGTCTGAACATGTAAAATAAATACAAAAACCCCAAAAACACTCTAACTTTACCTGACGTTTGGTGATAATATCGGTCAGTCTGCTAGCCAGCTCCTGATCCAGCGTAGGGTCAAGATATACCACAGGCAGTGACATAGAGTTGTTCTGTAACACACAAAAGACAAGTTCATCAGCGGTGTGTCCTCAGCGGGCTTGTGTGTGTGTGTGTGTGTGTGTGTCTCTATGTCACCTGGATCAGCGCTCTTTCAATAGTACCAAACATCTCAACGTTCCTCTCAGTTCTGGATGGATTCTGCAAGTCAAACCTTCGCCTGTAAAAAGGAGGGAGAAGAGATGCTATGAAGAACACTGCTAGGAAAAGGCAAAGACATTAATTAGAGACCTGCAACTCACCAGCCTTGCTCAGCCTTGAACTTGTAGGCAGTGCCAATAATGTGACAGAGTCCACCCCCTGGTCGCAGGTCCAGGAAGCATTGTGCCTGCAGAGAAAATGTACAATTAGCAGCTTTGTTCTTTTGCATGTTTTTAGCTCGACCATTATAAAAGACAGATAGTGAGAGACAAACTCACAGGCAGTTTGGTGAGAGCAGGGCTGGCAGCTTGTCTGCCAAAGGCATCCTCTTGGAACTGGAGGAGCTGCAGGGTCACTGCAGCCAGAGCCTGACACGATGGAGCATCCACCAGCACATACTGACGGACACACAGACACACAGACAGACGCGTTTTGTAAAAGGATATAAGGAAAACCTTTACTTTAATGCAACCTAAGAGCTGCTGCATTGTACCGACAGTCTCACCAACTTAACTACTGTATTCTACATTTGCACTTTATTATTTTAATTCATGAATTGAATTAAATGGAAACTGCAATGCTTAATTCATCACACAAATCTTCCTAGCCGGTGTAAAGGTAACGTTATCCAGCATGAGACGTTTGTTTACAGTCTGAGCCATTGGACTTGCTAGCAGGGGGCGGCTAGCCCGTTAGCTACCTTTTTGTAGTGCTTCCCGATCCACTGTCGCACCAGCTCCAGCTGGGCTAAAGTCTCCGGACTCTCCCAGAACCTAGCGGACGGACTGCTGTCTTTTTTCCGGTGTGCGGATGTCCCGGTGCTGGCTTGGCTCGTCCCGGGAATCCCAAGGTTTGTTCCTCCGGACATTGTGGCCATAATAAAACGCGATAAATCTCAAACGAGAGAACAAAACTGGCTAGCGCGCTCGCTAGCCTTCGCGTTCTCGCTTTCTCTCGCGAGAAGCAACGCGATTGTCGCAGTTCGACATAAGGGTTTTTTATTTTTGAATGTTTAACTCTCTTTCATTTTCACGTGTGTTTTTTTACTTAGATGTGTGCTTTTATGATTTATTATTGTATGTTTAAAATATACAAATAATTTATCACATGCCCAACACAATACACACGTTTGTTACAAACCAGGGCTTTTATTTTGAAGTTACATTACAAGGAAATAACTGCGCAAGATATGTCAACAGAAGTGAAGTGAGATTGGTTGGTAGCAACTCGTATTTAAATGCTTTAATCCAAAACTATTAGACAAACTATTGTTTGAAAATGTACATAACATACTTATTTATAACATAACTTAATGGTTTGCTTTCTGTGTATATGACATGTTTTATTTGCAGTAATTTCCGTTGTGTGGTAAATTCCCAGCAATCAGAATAGTGTCTGTTGGGAAAAACAACTTCTGTCTAGCTGTCTGTCTGCTGAGCAGTGGCAGCGTTAGGATTATTTTCCGTCTCATTCTATAATTGGATATCTGGAAAAAACCCTCCACACACCCTCAGACCAGCCTTTATACCCTGCGTGGCACTAAAGCACCAGCACCCCAGTAAGTCATTCATCTTCTCTCTTCATGTTTCCCTAGGCCCTGAGCTCCTATGGGGGTCCATGGGCTGACCACCTATGTGGAGGGGAACAGACACCTCCTCCAGGACGTGAAGTTCAGGGACAGTCTTCTGGTTATAGATGGCTGCAGTCTGTACTTCCGTCTCTACTTTAACAACGGTTTGGACCAGCAGCACGGAGGGGACTATGATACTTTCGCCCGCCTGCTCAGTCAGTTCCTCTCTGCACTGGCAGCCTGTAACATCCAGCCATATGTGGTACTGGATGGAGGTAAGGATGCTGTGCAACTGCTTTGCCTCTTATGATAGGAAACTCAACTTTTTACAATCTATGATACTGTTTCTAATTACTATATATACTAATTTTATATACAAGAGGGGAATCTTCCAGAAACTTTCAGTCAGATACTTTTTTTCCTGTTAAAATGAGATCTTCCCCAAAGTCCCCACCCACAAATGTTTCATTTCTGTCTGTATTTTCCTTTGGTTATAAGGGCTCGACCCCAGTGACAAGAAGTTTTCCACCCTGCGCCAACGTCAGCAGTCCAAGATAAGGGACGCGGACAGTCTTTCTCACGGCCGCAATGGCTCTGTCCTCCCCCTCCTCACAAGAAATGTCTTCATTCAGGTCCTCATGCAGAGAGGAGTCCCACTGGTCCAGTGTCCAGCTGAGGCTGACTGGGAAATCGCATGTTTGGCTCACCAGTGGAAATGCCCGGTTCTGACCAATGACAGTGACTTTTATATCTTTGATCTTCCAGGTGTGGGTAGCAATGTATTTTTCTAAGTGTAATTTTACAAAGATCAAATAGTCCTTTGTACTGAATGATAGTGATAGTGTTGTGCTTGGTTTTCCTGTTGTTTTACACATTGTTTATGTGCTTTGTTTTCTTATCTTAGGCGGTTACCTGCCACTTCGTTTTTTCCAGTGGACCAACCTTAATGGTAAAGCCTCTCACCGCTACATCTCAGCTCGGTGCTACACTACTAAAAGGCTGTGTGGTTTGTTTGGGGGCATTAACCAGGAGCTGCTACCCTTATGTGCCGTGCTGACTGGTAATGATTACAGCGCCCCAAAAGATGCTGAAACCCTCCTCGATCTGTTAAATCTCAGTTCTACATATTGTAGAGGTGGCGGTAGGGGTAAAGGTAGCATATCCCGCTTTGAGGGCATCCTCCTCTGGCTGTCCAGTTTTTCCCATCCGAAGGAGGCCCTGGAGGAAGTGAGCAAGCTAATGGGCGAGGAAGGCACAGCTGGAGGTGGCAGGGGCAAGGGCGGACAGAAGGGTGAGCTCAGTTCGCAGCTGTGGGCAGCTATGCAGGAGTACCGAATTACCCCTCAAAGCACTCTGGCCCGCTGGTTCTCTGAAGGTAAGGCACCTCCTGGAAGATGGACCTCTGTGCTGCCAGAGTATCTGTCGCTGGCAGCTGCACAGGGACTGTTGTCTCCCTTTGTGGTAGATGCCGCGGTGATGCATAGGGTCATGCTCATCCCACAAGTGGAGAACAGCAGGCTACCCAGCAGCCACTGTAGTGCCAGAGCCATACGCCAGGCTGTATATGAGATAGTACTGCAGAGAGGCCCAGATGTCCAAGCAATGGATATGAGTGTGCAAGAAAACATCCACCAGGGAATGAGAGGTGGGAGAGGGCGAGGGGGGAGGGCGAGGGGAGGTGGTCAGTTTGGTGGAGGTAGGGGTCAGAGCATTTTACAGCAAGGTGCAGCTACAGTGCAGGCTCAGGGCTTGGGTGTAATTGTAGAGGAGTACGACCGTCTGGATCTGAACTTGAAGAAAAACCAAGTCGAGGCACATCTGCCCAAGACCCCTATACATCTGGATACACTTGGCCAGGTAAATGTGACAACACACATTATGTATGTTCTCTCTAACAGTTTTGGTTTATATAATTTGGGAATTTACAGTTCATACTTGTTGTGATTTGGTTTCATTTCCCAATGTTCTCACTTAATTTCATCCAGGCTCCTGCGGCAGTTCGTCTTGGTGTCCTGTTAGACGTCTTGGGGGTGAGGGAGTCTGCCCTGGCTCCTGTTCCTCTCCACCTGAGGCTGGCTGTAGCAGTGACAGGCTTCTGGCTGCGAGAGGCCAAACCAACACCCTCACAGCTCCAGCTCCAGGCTTTGGTGCTGGGCATGGTTTACGGAGAGATCTCCTGGAACAGCGAGTGTGGAGCTACACACAGCCAACATGCTGGTTGGTTGTTTTGTATCTAACTACATTGTATCTCATCAACAAAGCAAACAGCCATCTATCCTTAATGATCTCAAACCTGTTGCTGCTGTGTATCATCCTAGTCCCACAGCAGAACTGGGCTGCAGAGCACAACGTGTGGGCGGGGCTGAATAAAATACGCGTGAGGCCAGGGGAGAGACGGGGCTTGGATGTCGGAGTGGCTCACAGTTTCAGCCAATGGCAGGCCTGCCTCTGGAGTGCACTGTCTCTCAATCAGCTATTGCTTCTGCCAATGCCTGAACCCCACCTATCATGGTAAGACACAGGGACATGAAAGAGGAGAGATACTGCATGCATTTTTCTCTCATGAGAACTAGACCTGCAGCTAACGACTATTGGTTCACCCAAATTACAAAAAACTTTTCTCACGGAGTTGTCATGCAGTTAGTTTTATTTGCAGACATTTTAAGATAACCATCTCTTGAGGAGTACCATCCCAATACAATAAAGGTTGATTGAATTTTGTTTGTGGAGCTTGGAACATTAAATTACATTAAAACAAATCAAGAGTAACTGACACATTGCTTTCATAAGAGCACATTGCTGAAGAATTTTTCAATTTTCAATGTTTTGATTCGATTTTGCTTTTATTGGGATGGACATGGGGGTGATAAAATCTAAAAGTATCTGCTGATATAACCATGGTAATTTGGTTGCCTCCCTCTCCCTCTGTGTCTGTATGTCACAGGTTGTTCAGTGGTACCTTGCTGCACGGCCTCCTGAGGCATCTGATAGGGGGCCGAACTGCTGATTCCTTTTTTTTCGGGGGTTCCTTGTCTGGACAACTCTACTCCTCCCTACTGGAAGCCGTGGTGAACTGCATCTCTAAAACCCATCCTTATTGTTCGGCAGGAAGGGGAAAAAGAGGTGGAGGACGGGGAAGGAGAGGAAGAGGAGGGCGTGGGAGAGGAGCAAGGGGAGCCAGGGGAGCCAGGGGAGGGGGGAGAGAGACTGAGGAGATAAACAACAGGTTTGCTCTTCTGATGAATGAGGAAGAGTATGATGATTATTGATGAGAACTTGCTAGGGGCCAAATGAGGGAGGACATTCCAGTGTTTTATGAAACACTCAGGGAATGATACAAATAATGATTGTGAAGAACTACACCTTTTAATGTATACCACTGAGCTTCTACATGTGTAATTCCTGTAATATTTACCAGCCATCTCAAATCAGGGGACGTCAAGACATCTGATATCAGTTTTCCCCAAAGCACACGCCAAATGCCATATTTTAGCAGATTTATAAGCGCTTTTATTAAAGTAATGTCATTGCAACAGTTAAACATAACACTTTTACTCTTTATACTAACACAAGATTTAAACAGTGAATGTAGAGACGTCTTATTTTATCATCTCCAGGCCAGCAGATGCACTTCAATTGTCTCCCCATCATACAGTGGTATGGCAGCTAGTGTCATTCTTAATGAGCAACTCATGAAATCTTATGCCATTTTAATATTTGCCTTAATACGATAATGAATTTGGTGCTCATGTTTACTCTTCTTTGTATATTAAAATATATAAATCAACTTCCTGTTTTTTTTAAATGGTCACGTTCAGCAAATTTTTACTTGTAACCACATATGACTGAGAATAAAATGTTTACTCATTCTCTGTAGTGTCCAGCTGTAAGTTTCAGTGTGTTACCAAAGCACCCATATAAATATATACACAACATAACCAGATAAATGCAATATATCTACACTCTGCAAAAAGAACATTACAATGTTAAGAAAAAAAGTTTTTAAAAGAAAGACAAAAAACATTTAATAAAATTATTAAGCCAGTCTGAGTAACCTAACAATCCTCTGTTATTAAAAGTCCCCTTGTCTGACAAAGTTAAATGTTAAACAGACTGCTGGACGTAGTAAAAGAAGACAACTCAGGCCTTGTGTTATGTAAATCATCTCCGTAGTCGACTTTCACCAAACATCAACTCTTAATATACACTAAATCTCTCGTCCTATGAGGATGATGAGGTTGGGGCAGATGAAGAGGCAGCGGCTGCAGCGTGTGACTGAGAGTCTATGAGGTCCATGTCTTCGTCTTCATTAACTCCACACGTGTCGACCACGCAGATCAGGCAGCTGGTGACGGGAAACGCTCGCACCTTGCTGCAAGTCACCCACCTGAACACACACAAGGAAATGGATTGAGAGGTGACAGGTTTTTAATCAAACTATTATTCCTTTTTACCGTTAGTGACAGAATTCAACGCCATTATTCAGGACATCAGCAACGTATTTAATATTTGTTTTGAGTGACGTTTAGTTAATACACCAACCTGTCAGCGTCAGTGTGGTACTCCAGGACATGTCCGAGACGTCCCACACCTTGGAATCCCGCTAGGACATAGATGACGTCACCGACCGCTGCGCACTTCACCGTTACGCCTCGCCACGGCATTGCAGAGGCAGCGCGCCACTCGTTACTGGCAATGTCGTAATACTCCACTGAGTCCAGTCCACCTACAAAAAAAACCCCACCACAATAAATTGTGTACAGAGGCAGCTGGGACACTTGCTACTACCATATGCTACAGCAACTATGTACAGTTGTATTATTACTATATTACTATAGTAAAATCCATTTGTCGTACCCAGTGCCCCCTGCCCTCCAACAGCATAGATCCTGTTGTTGACCACTGCCACCCCATGGTTCTTCCTGGCCTCTCTCATCCCACAAAGCTCCCTCCATCTGACAACAGAAAGATAAAGAGTGTAGCAGAGAACACAGATAATTGTAGCAGTACGACATTATGAGATTTACCACATTATTGTCAGGTGAAAAAAACAGTTGTGACCTTAATGTGGATAAAAAAAGGTCACCTTTGAGGAGAAATCTCCATGACCTCTTTAAAAGCCTTTCAAGACTGAAAAGAATTTGTTGATGTTTTGGTATACATGATTTTGACCCTGATATGAATATACAGACTTGTCATTTTGCTCACATTGTCTTTGTAGTTCCTGCTGTTGTCAGCACATATCAAAAAGGCCACTCTCTCTATTCATTTCCATTATTACATCAATAAACACTGTAAACAAGCCTGTGCAAACAAAACAAAACAGTTGCGTTGTGTGCAGTTCGTAGCTGGATGTTTATGAAACTCACTGTTGCGTGTTGGGGTCGTAAACCTCACAGTTGTTGAGGACCCTGCCGGACACGTTGTTGCCCACCGTTCCTCCGCAGACGTAGATGAGCCCGTTGGCCTCCACTGAGCCGTGGCTGCAGCGAGCCATCAGCATGCTGGTTTTCACCTGCCACGACTCTGTTCTTGTGTCGTAGCATTCGAAAAGGTCGAGGGCAGAGCTTCCTGCAGACATGCGCGCAGTACGTAACACCATGAGTAAATGCTTTCCACCATGAAGGATGATCAACATTATTTTCCCTAAGGACTTGTCAATCATAATGGAAGTATAAACCACAGAGAACGTCAAACTCCATTTAACCATCCCATAAAATCAATCCACCATCACTAACCCACTCAGTAAATACATAAACCTCCTCAATCCCAGGTCACAAGTTCACCCCCTCCACCTCCCTGTGCTCACCCACTTCTGACCCTCCAGATGTGTAGATCTTGCCCTGGGCGGCGCAGGCTGCCAGGCTGTCACGAGGTGTTGGCGGACCCAGCTTGGAGTACCAGCTGTCCTTCAGGACGTTATAGCAGTCCATGCGTTTGATGGGGAAGAGCTGTGAGCCACCCAGGATGTAGACCACGTTGTCCCAGAAGACAGCTGTGGCGTCCCGGCGCTTCTCGAACGGGCAGCGGATGTCTGTCCAGCTGGAGTCCTGCATGTAAAGCCAGGCTGTCACTTAAACACAGGCAAAAATGATTTCAATAGACTTCACTACACAAAAGTATAGCTATGTTTGTTTCTGATATATTTGATCCGAATAATACGAACTGTACATTTTTACAGAGCTATGAAGCATATATATATATATCTCTACGACATTTACTGACTCAACTGCCCCTGTGGGTAAAATATGTTTGCATGTGGAGCCTGTTACCTTGGGGTTAAAGTAACGGCAGGACTGAGGCTGGGAGCCCCCAAACAGAGCGATGCGGTAGTCGTGCTTCTTGCGTCGGGGTCGGCTGCTCTCTCCCAGATCCTCCCTATCCTCCAGGGACAGCAGGTGGTAGCGCATCCCACCTGGGATAAAAGCACAGGATATTGTTGTTTTGTGTGTGTGTGTGTGTGTTGCAGGAGAGTTTCTGTGGTAGCTCATATGTTAAACATCTGCAATAGCCCTGCCAAAACCTTTAATAATAATGAATATTTAACAGTTTACTACTATATTAGAGTATGCTGCAGATAGTTTAGCTAAGAACCAAAGTAATGTAACAATATTTTCCAACTCAACGCAGACAACGCCAACCCCTTCCTCATTAACCCATGTGTTGTGTTGCTTTACATGCATACAATATACACAGAATTGTATGTGTTCATTATGTCAGTTTATAAGTTATATGTTGTGTGTGTGTGTGTTTCTCTCTCTCCTCCCACTCACTGATAACCATCTTGAGGCACTGTGGGTTGTCCTGGATGAGGGGCTCAGCCTGCACTGTCTTGGAGAGGAAGGTTTTGGAGACCAGAGGAAAGCGAACGCACCCCAACACCTCCACCATGTACTGTTGCCGGTTACACACATCGTACTTCAGCCAGCGCACTGCAGCATCATAAATCTAAACAAAAAAATGCAACGACAAAACGTGAGTGACATCGTTTGCACATTTTCCTTACACAAAAAAGATAGTTGGGAACGTACTGTTCTGCTACGTCCCCAAACTTAGGCAACCAAGTGAAATTCCACTCAAAACATGTGTACCTGGGCCTCAGCACGAACAGTGAGCTTGTCCTGGTGCAGCAGATGTGTGAGCTGTGTGACGTCAAGTTGCAGGAACTCGTCCAGTTTGTAGACTTCGGTGAAGTGGAGCTGGAAGAAGTCCTCTGCTGCTGCCTTCAGCTCGGGACAGTCCATACAGTCTGACAGGGCGGAAATACCTGCAGGGGGACAGAAGAAAGCTCATTCAGTCTATTGATGTTAAGTTATTGGCAGGCCTGACCCAAACACAAAATTAATTTAGTATTTAAATAAACAAAAAATACTTGATTTTACTTCCCAGGTCAAACATACTCAGGTGGAACTGTTTGGGCCTGGTTGTTTAATAATTGATCCTGGTGACTTAATAAATAAAAGATCAAAGAGCAGCAGATTGTGGGGTAAAAGCAAGGGAGATAACACTTCACCTTGATTGTATTTCTGTTCTTACCAAGGCAGTTTGTTGCATCAATCTGTCCTTTAAGGAACTCCACACACATCTTCTTCACAGGCTCAATCTGGTACTGGTTGGCTGCATCCAGCAACGACTGGACGTTGCTGCTGTTCACCGAGATCCTGGTACACACACACACACACGACACACACACACACACACACACACAACCACACACACACACACACAGCACACACTGAGTTACCTCAAAGGAGGGGTGTTTTAAAGGTGGGAATTAGCTGTTACATTCAGAATAGGATGGTCTAATATTCTAAGTTAGACTGCTTTTCCTTTTATTATTGGCATGAGCAGGCCATTACCGAGCTGTGTAGATAAATTCAATCAACAGCTCAATGATCTCAGGCTCAGCACTCCTGAGCTCCACCTCGTGAGACATCGACTCCATCATTCTGGCTGGAGGTGCGGAAAAAAAGAGAGGTTAGACTTCACAGAAAATAGGAACATGCCAACAATACGTGGCAGCATCAAACATTTTTCCTGCTGTGCTTCACAAAAGTTCAGAGAGCATACATCATTTATAATGCACATTATTACATGATTTTGGTCATAAAATTAATAATCTGATCTCTAATTCAACGCTTGTTTTTGTCTCTCATTAAATGATCAAGAATTATAATTTCTTCTTATTAAAATGTCAATACTACTAACAGATTACGACACTTTACAACAAGAGGTGCTTATTTATAGGTATTTTGCAACACTTCTGCATCTGTGGCCTCCCAAAATACAATACTCTATTAGAAATCACAGGCGATTTTCTCACTATTGTGGTCCACTTGGGCTCAATGTGCTTTTGTGTTCACACTTACTGGTGAACATGAGGCTGAAGAAGTGGCTGGCAGCAGCCAACACTACTCTGTGGGCAGGAAAGTGTTTCCCCTGAACCACCAGGGTCACATCACAGAGGGTACCCTGAAGGAAACACACACACACACAATATCAGGGACGCACACATACAGTATATTCCTCGTGTGTGTTGTATCTTCTCTCTAGCACACCTGTTTCCTCAGGTTGTTCATGACTCCCATGATGCTAGACAGCTGTCTGTACTCCTCTTTGGTGGCACACTTCCTCTCGCTCTTCTTCTTGGAGCTTGACGCCTTCTCCGGAGAGGCCACCCCCGTCATGTCAGCCTGCTTAAAGTAAAGTCCCAGTCCAACCCTGTGAGCTCCCCTGTGAGCTCCCCTGTCAGTGTGCAGCTGCAGGCTCTTTGTTGTCGCTCAACCGCTGGCAGTGTCCCTGCTAGCAGCCGGTCAGCAGCTTGTTGGGATTTTATGAGATATAAAGCCGCCACGTTGACGGCAGCTTCTCTTTCAAAACTCGTAGAGAGAAGCTCAGAAAGATGGCCTTGCTGTCAGGTATTGAAATAGTGATAATAAAACAGGTTAGCGGGGTGTTGTTTTGAAGCTAACGTTAGAACTCAGCCTTAAACCGGGGCGGTTGTGACTTGCTCTTCGTCTGGTTGGACCATTGACTGTATATGGGTTGTGCACACTCGCGCTCGCCCTCTACCGGCAGGCGTTAGAATTACACATTTAACCTGCAGGATTGCGGAACTGATTTATTCTTAAACTCAGTTTATAGATCATCTAGAGAATTAATGTTGGTATTCAGGACGAAAAACACACTAGTAGTAATTAATAGTAATATCAAGTTTCATATTTTATAATATTAATAGCCAAAGAGCTGACACAGCTGTAATGGCAACCTGCCTTCGGTGTACCTGCAGCAGCAGCGGCAGCGGCTCACCTGTGGTGCACCTGTCTGTTACAATCATATCTGCACTGTAATCCAGAAAACATAACCAGGAAGAAAAGTGTTCCACTAGTCGCATGACGCTGACGTAATGAGGAATGCGGGCTGCATTGTCAGAAATATTTGACCTGAAAACAAAAATTGAGAGAGACTCGAGTTGCAGAAAATGCTCCGTTTTATCTGCTGTTGTTGCTTCTCAAGTGAAAACTCCGGCAGCGAGGTATGTGTTGAGTTTTACATACATGTTGATGATAATATAGAGTGGCTTCATTCGAGTTCAGACGAGAAACTTGACCACTGCTCGAGTGGAATAGCTCATTACTATCCTAAGTGAATGTAAGATTAGTGAGGACTACACCCTTCATAACCCAAAGCTGTAGTTTATTTGAATCACGCTGTTCAGTTGTCACAGAAAAATACAGTATTTAATGGTGTCTCAGAAGACAAAAACTAAACTAAAACTAAACTATAATGGCATTGTTTTGTCACAAATACAAAGTACAATGAGGCTGCAACAGAGTAGGTCTCCATAAAGGCAGTGTTAACCACATGAGTTTAAGTAATTACATGCATCCACACGCCTTATGAGCAGTGTTGGGCTAGTTACTCAAAAAAAAGTACTTTATTACTCATTACTCTGTACTCTTTTCAAAAGTAATATTATTACTTTACTTATTACTCCCTGCTAAAAGTAATAGTTGCACTACTAGTTATATTACTTTTCTCAAAAAAATGTTATTGTGCTGTTTCTCCCCAAATTTCACACTTATGAAGATTAAAATCCAGGTTTGTTTGTCAAAATCAAAGTAATGTAATATTTCCAGCTGCTGAATGTAAGCGTTAACAACTTCCAAACTAGTTTCCTCCAGGATTACACAAATTAATCCAAGTCTGTGATTGGATTGTTGGATTTCAAATCAGTAGGCTGTGACAACGAAAGTAATACTGTAACTGGGGTGGTAACTGTAATATTATTACTGAAATGTATTGGTAATTAGTTACACTACTAGTTACTGGGAAAGTAATATTATGTTATCACTAATAATGAGTTACTGCCCAATACTGTGTGTGAGTGCTTTGTGTCTCTTTTTGAAAAGTGCCAGTAAAAACAAAAATATCTGCTATTTCAGAGGCAGCCTCTCCTGGACCCCAGACCATCTGACCTGAATGGATCTGAATCAGCCAGGCAGACCCGGCCAGCACACAGTGGTACTTCATCTCTCTAAACGTTCATGTGTCTGTCTCTCACACCTCTATGCTTATCAGGGTTAGGGAAATCCTAATCCGCTTCCAATGCATAACATTGTGCAGAAACATCAAACTGCTGAAGGCTTTCTTTTTCTGTGTCTGTTGTGTGATACTGTTTTCCCTATCAGATGCGCAGACCGTGAAGCGGATTGGTAGGCTGGTGATGAGGCGAGTGTGTGTGCCAGAGCTAGACAAGAGGTTTTCTGACATGGCTGAGACGTTCAACGAACAGCAGCAGCGCTATGAGGCCATGGTCCAACACATCATTAACCTGCGACAGGTCTACGGCTGTAACCACAACGATAGCCTGGCTTTAGCCGAATGTGTGGGGAAGATCAGAGACGAGCATGGTAAGTGACACACTCAGAGCTCCTGCCAGTACAGGCAAAGTGATGGCAGTCTTTCTTTTTCAGTTTCTTTTGTTTCTCTGTTTCAATCTACATTTCTCTCCACTTCCAGAGGCCAAGTACAGGGTCTCCCTTAAGATAAAGGGCTATGACTTCTCCCTCAGTGTGGTTCCTGCGGGGCCAGAGGGGGAATGTGAGGAGGAACCACTGCCTCCACATCTGCGATTGGCTCAGGATGAACTGAAGGGCGCTTCTGAGAGCGCCAAGGCCACCATCTCAAAGGGTACCACACTTCAAGAGTTGATTGGCTGGCTGCTCCGTAGCAAGGATCAAATGGCTGAGCAAGTAAAAGGGGCTGCAGCCTCCTACCAGGAGCAAGGAAGACTGAATGAGAACCTGGAGGAGAACATGAAGGAAGTGAGGAGGGCGAAGGAGTTGTCGCTGGGATACAGACAACGGGCCGGAGAAGTCCTCACTGAGGCTGCACAGATAGCCGGGGCTTATCTGTAGTTCATACACATTTTAAATGCTTTTTATTAGAATCTACCAATTACAATACACATATTACGGGATTCAAATATTCACAGAGGTTATACACACTCTTTGACAATTATGGGTATGGGATCACTGACTCACAACCAGACTACCTGTGACAGCTGAGATGGAACATCATTTTGCTGTCTAGCTATCTTTTCCTTGGTAAACTTGCCAACTGCAATTAGCATTCATATCATAGCATTTGCAACAACATCAGAAGTATTAGATAATGAGTGCACACACAACGCCATGCATGTATTTAAACAGGCTTTGCAGGCCAATGCAGCCTCTTGTATCATGTGTCCTGCAAGAACATGAAGACTTGCGATTATATATATTCCTTTTAAATGTTTTTTTAAAATTACAACAAATAACACTTTATGCTCTTTAGACTCACTCTAACACTTAGTACAAGTACAGTGTATTGTCTGTATAAAGACTGGTGTTTTTCTGGATGGGTGTAATTTTACCTGCTAACATAAGGGGGCATTGCAGACTCACTTTATTATGAGGTGCTCTTTAATTCTTATTCCTCAGATTTAGTTTCTCAGAAATAGCCCTACATGGATAAAGATTCCCTATATCTCAGAATCAGGTATCAGGTCTTTTGAATTTTGTACATGATTAGACACTTTGCCATGAGGAAATATTGTAGAAACTAATTCCGTTAGAAAGTTAAGGCTTTGAACTGAACTTGAACTGTGCATAATGCAATAACAGGACACAGTCTCATATAGCAGCAATGGGAATTGGACCGGAGGTTTGTTGTGATTGTGCCTGTAGTGTTTTGTTATTGTAAAATTCAGAGGGGGCAGATTTGCTGCTCATTATCCACAGAATCCCATGCATTTATTAACTGATTAAAATCCGCAGCTTTCCATCAGCTTTTATTATGAAAGCAAACAAACACATGGTCATATGCCATCTTGATAATTAATTTTGGAAAATCCATTGTTCCAGAGGTCATTGTCAAGTGGTCCTGCATTATTTATGGGAGGGAGACAGTTTTAGAGCACTGCTTTCGCCTTAAGCTTTTACAGATTAATTTGCCATGAAGTGTTCAGGATGTAGTGGGTAAAACCTGAGAACGAGCTGTTCATCTCTAAATGGAAAAGTGTGGGAAATAAAACAAGGGCACTTACAATTGAAATTCAATTTCGTAAAAGATAGTATATGTTTAATAAAGTCTACCTTTATTAATTATTATTATGTCCTTCATGATTATTAGATATCATGTTAGTGCGACTAAATGGTTTAAAAACTGTGACTTGTGTTCCTAATTAAAATGTGAATTATTGATTAAAATATATTTAAATCAAACGATTCTAAAGCAATTATTGACTAAACATCTTCAAACTGCAATTTATATGCTTGAGTATAATCAATTATCCTTACAATGCGATCATACTGTCAACAGATGACTTTATTTATGTGATTCATTTTAATCATCTGGCAGATCATTGCTGTCAAAGAGCAGCGACTGACAGCCACAACCTACCGCGATCGTGGAAATTATTAACATACAGCGTAGCGCCCAATTTGATTGGACGATACGCGTAGAGGGGCGTGTCGGTTAGACTACATACTTCTCACTCATTGGCTCCGACGCCTGTCACTCCGCGGAGACCGAGTCCCCCTTCGCCTAAGGTAGTCTGAGTGGAGAAAGTAATGAAGATGGAAGGAGCTGATGTTGATGAATTATTGAGGAGATTTATGGAGTAGCGAGGTGATAGTCGTTCACTCGTCTTTGTCGGAACGATAGAGGACGGCGACACCAGGGAGTTGACCGATAGCATGCCAGTAAGTAAACAGCAACTTCCCCCAGTTTACTTGCTGTCGCGCCTTAGCCAGGCTAGCTAACTAGCGGGCTAATCTGTAAGCGACCGTGCAGTGACAGCTCCAAGTCATTCAACAAGCCGAGACAGAGAGTGTGTGAAGGTGGAGGGGTGATTCACACACTCTGGCCGATACTGGTTAACGAATAACACTGAATTAAATGGCTAGGGAAGCTACTGTTTATTACAGAGCTACCAGTCCCCTTTCAGACAGACATTCACGTTGTGTAAAAGCTGTGTTACCAGTTGTGGCAGAATAGCTGGTTAGCGGCGCCTAATTACAGCCATAGTTCCCATTTCAATCAGCTAGATAACATGCAGTGACACACAGGTGAAGATGGGAAGGCTTTCCAGCGTGTAAACCTAACTAGCTTTCCATTGCAACCATCACTAGTGTGGTAGATTAAGTCACATTTGTCATAGAGACCGACTGTACCGGACTTTATCCTGTTTAGTAACAAGTGTGTGTGTGTGTGTGTGCTGTCTGTCAGGAACTTATTAAGATACTTTACTTCCTCAGGTGATTTCTGTGCGTGTGTGTGTGTGTACCAGTGTACCAGAGGTAGACTCACCACTGCAGACCGGTATGTTAGATAATGGGTTTTTAGGATTTTTCTAATAGCTGTCATGTGATTCAGCTTTCCTCCATACCACCAAGGCAGTTGAGGGGTTTCCTGTCTGAGGTGGGCTACGCTTTGCTGCAGAGCACTGTACATGCTATCAAAAGTTAAAATGTGTTTTTTTACATTCTGTGTCCTTCACTAGGACTGTGCTCCTGGTGGTGTGCCAGGTATTGTTTAAATAAGATACTGTGTGTGACTTAGTTTATAGGTTGTCCTTTGCTTTCTATACTCTGTGTGTGTGATGTGCTGTGGTGGTGTGTGCTGCGTGGCTGGCGTCGGCGTGCGTGCGTGCGTGTGTTTCTTTGCCACTGTCATTGGAGTCTTACCCTTAAGCAACAGACAGGGTTAGGGTGTGTTGAAGTGGTGTCACAAGGGTGTGGATGTGTGTGCACGCGTGGAAAGTATGCATAGACCTGTTAATGTGTGCCATCCGTGGCTGCTAGTGTCTGAGGCCTCTTAATGCTTTATGACAGTGGAGCCCGGCAGGTCATGAGGCGAGAAGATCGCGCCGGCTCTGCTGTCATCCAGCGTCACAGCCAGAGTCACCCATGCCTGCGGTTTCATGAGATATCTCGACAATTTGAGCAATGAAAACAGTTGCAATCCCTCCCCCTTTCATTTAATTCTGCACCAAAGTCTGCACAGCCAAGCACAGTAGCAATATCTCTATTTTTTTGTTGGCATGGATACCAGTAGCGTACATTTAACAACATGAAAAAGAATCTAGAAAATCAAGCTAATTAACTGCACCAAAAGTGGCGTCGGAATGTGAAATTCCAGGGCCGAACATTAACAGATTATGAGAGCGTCATCTAACGGTGACACGAAAGCTGACACAGATGCGGCAAAGGAGGGGAGATACGAGAGAGTGCTGAAACTGAAAAATCAGATCCGTTAATCGCTGGTCTCTTCAGGCTCACTGGCTGAAGGAAGACAGGGAAGTGAAGTGGCGAGAGGAGGGACGAAGATGCATCACTGGCTTAGAGGCAACGGAGAAATGCGCGTAGGCTGCTATAAGAGGATTCCTCCCTGTCAGATCTCTCTATCGGTCTCCTTCAGCAGCAAAAACCACACACACACACACACACACACACACAAACCACATACTCTTGTCATGTCTACTTCGCTACAGGCACTCATCTGCTTTATGTGTGTGTGTGTGTATCACTGAGAGAGAAAACAGAAACCTCCCCCCCTCCTCCCCCCTTCCTCCTCCCTGCTATTGAAGAAGACCTGGGGGGGAGAGCAAGGTGGGAGGGGGATGATGCAACAGGGTTAACTGCGGGGCCAGGGATGGCCAAATAAAGAATATAGCAACAGACAGCGTGAAAAAGATGCGATACACAAACCGATGTAAAAACAAAACGCTGAATTCCTGCGAACCGACGCGTGGCGTAAACAAGCTCCTTTGCGCGGCCGAACAGGAGATCAGGTCAATGAATGCGGAGCTCGGGCATGTTCGAGGCTCTGCGCCTTTATGACCACAGGTTATAACACCAGCCATCACCTTACTTTGGACGCCCACAGCTCCCTCAAAATAGCTCATCAACGGCTTTCGCTGGCTTCGAATTGCAACAAGCGTGGAGGTCACAGGTCCAACTTGTTCCCAGTAATATAACATGGCCGAGAAGTTTGGGTGGGAAGGCGGTAATTCGACTGTAGTGTCCTGTTCTGACATTGGTTAGTGCAGTTAGACTTGTGTAACGGTGGTTTGGTGTGTGCTGCACAATAGTTGATCCGCTGAGGATACCTTGATGCTGCGTAACCACTAGCTGGCACCCTGTACCACAGGAAAAAAGCGCGGGGCAGCTCCGTCACTCTCAGAGCCAACCCCTTGGTCCTTTCTCTCTCTTCCTGTTCCTCCCTCCCCTCCCTCCATGTCAAGCCTTCAATGTTTTGCCCACTCACTTCCCTATAGACAGGCAGAAAGAAAGAAGGTCGCAAAGCAGTATGTGTAATAGGAAATTGAGGTAATCAGCAGGGGAGGGATTGTGTCTGTGGTGGGTGTCCACTCTGTTTCCATTCTCACATGGACTTTCTCGCCGTACTTCAAGTACTGCTGCCGGCGTTCCCAGACAGTATGGTCCTTCCCGCTCCGCCACTGACGCACCGAAGGGACACTCTGTGTTTTGCTAGTGCTGATTTCCTGGTGTTTTTTGTGTTACATCCGTGTGGAATTAGTATGTGTAGTAGCGCGTTTGCCTCCCGTGTTTGTAGTGACTCTGTGAGGAATGCAAGCACACTTACAACAAGGATTAAGAATGTAAACTTAAAGGAGATCTGTTTGTGTTAGAAGAAGACTTCGGAAGGAGGAGCGCATAAAATAAGCTCATTTAGTCTGCCAGCCGTGTTGTGTGTGGGTGTGGTGTGGTGTGTGTGTGTGTTGGTGTGTGGTGTGTGTGTGTGTGTGTGTGTGTGTTGTTCGCTGCGCGTGTGCGCGTGTCAGAGTTTAAGAGTCGTGGGTGTAAATTCAGAAGGAACGAGCTGTCAACTTTAGCTAGCTCACAGGAACAGGTTTTGTCAAACCAGACATTGAATAAATACACACTTGCGCAATAAATGACACATTCTCTGTCACTCCTTTGCAAGTCGTTGGCTCCATCAGAGCTCTGCATTGGTGGAAAAACTCAGTAAGCCACAGCTAGGCTAGTAAACACATTGAAATCCATTTCTTTTGCCTGCGTAGATCACAGAGATATGTGTGTGTGTTTCAGTATCGGTCCTTATCTCGTGTTGCCCTGAGCCTGGGAGGTTGCCACGGGCAGCACAGATTGAAACCTAATGAACTCTCCGCTTTCTTTGACCCCACTGTCTCCTCTTGAGTTATCCATCCCTTGAATTGTTACACAACCTTTTATCCCTCATCTCTCTATACGTCCATTTATGTCTGCCTCTATTCATTTAGCCATTGATTGATCTCTCTCTCCTCCTGCACTGCCTACCTGTCCCCCTCCTGCATTTATCATCCATCTACTCGTCCGTCACTTCATTGGTTTGTTACCGATGTGCTCGTCGAGCCTGTTCGGCCACTTATGCTTAACACTGGTTTATTCGTGTGTGTGTGTGTGTGTTGTGTGTCGTTGCGCGCGGCGTCAGTGTGGTCGAGCTGCACAGAAGAAGCCCACCAGCTGCTGCATCATTTGTAGTGTTTGTGTGTGCTCTCTCTGGCATACAATGATTTCTGTCATGATCAGTGAGTCCATAATGACATGGAGGTGGTTAACAGTTAGCCGGGCTAAGAAGGAAGACAAACATCTGCCTAATAACATAATTACGCTCTATAGTGTACTCCCACGGCAATTAGTTTTCTATTTTCCTCCAGCAGTTGCTCGTGCCCGTCTGCAGCAGAGCCTAGAAATCTGTGAGACAGGGCTTTATGTGCTCTTTGTAGCACTGTCTCTGAACACTTTCAGATTGAATCATCACCATTTTCATGGGTGAGTAGCCCCAATTATGGACTTTTAGTCTGTTCATCTTAATTGAAATTATGGCTGCATCATCAGGGCTGATCAATTATTGGTGAAATGTATGTTATTATGTATTATTCTGATAATTCAATTATAGCTGATACATTTATTACTTATTGATGATAATGATGATTTTTTTTTATTCTTAAGCAAAACGTAAGCTAATGTTCTAAGAAAGCCAAAGTATGTTTAAGTTTCTTGATGTACTTAACTAGAAAAAAATGAACATTGATTTTGAAGAGAGAGTTAAATTTGGTTTGAACAGAGCTATGAAATAATAAGTCATCCATCTTTGCTCACTACATCTCAGCTTCTCTTACCATCAGGTGTGCAAAAACTCTAGATTATGAACTTCTTCTTAAAATACAAAAATGTGAAAACAATGAGGGACTCCTGCACAATATCTCACTGAATGATGGCAAAATATTTATTTCATGCAATGTTTCGGTCTATACGACTTCCATTCGGTGTATAGGCAGCATGAACACTTTGTATATATGTATATACACACATAGAGGAGTTGCCTCAACCGTTCGATCATCCAATCGGAGGACTTTAGTGATTACTTTGACAGGTGATCACCTTTGTTTCTATATATTTCTATAAAATACAAAAATGTGAAATGAACAGTTATCTGTGTCGGTCATAAGAAGCAGATCATTATCACTAATCGGCTCCGCTGAGAAAAAAAATCCATATTGTGCATCCCTAACTAAAGTGATATCAATATCAGAGCTGGAACATTTAGTTGGTTGAACAGTTACTACATCGACAGACAATTAATCATTAATCAGTTCTTTCTGCAATTCTCTTTTAATCTTAAAAACTGAACTTTTTTTTTAAGGATTTATATTGTTTGTCAGAAATAGTAATTTTATGGTGTCACCTTGTGCTTTAGGAAATTATGATTATGCATTATTATATATATATATATGCATATTCCACTACTTTCTGACATTTAATAGACCAAATGAATAGTTTTTAGTTGATGTCATAGTCGCTCCACTTTTTGAAAATTCAGCATATTTGACTTTTGCTTTGTAAGATTAACTCGTTCAGGTCCGTATTGTCAAAATCTCGATCCCCTGATGACTTCTTTTTTTGCATAGCCCAATAACACAAATCACAGTTTGCCTCAAGGGGCTTTACAATCTGTCCAACACGACACCCTCTGTCTTAAGATCTTTGCACTCTTCGTGTGTGCTTTTCGTGTCATGTTTTAAATTCTAACATTTTTCACAATACACACTGATTTACAGGTGCATCCCATTACAGAAACTTTGCACCCAAGTGTTCACCCTTTGCTTTTGTGTCGCTGCGGTGGTTTCTTAGCTTGCGGCTGAGGTAGGAGGCAAATATATCCCATAGGTAGGCGGCACGGCAGGCAGCTGCAGATTTTAGTCTTCAAGTATCTCCTTTTGGATACAGATGATACAAATGATACAGATGCCCGAGACGAAAGTGTGGACGGAGCTGACCTTAAAAGTGACTCTGAAGGAGGACAAACTGTCCTCTTACAAGACTGACTCACCCGCACTCAAATGACAGCCTTTTATTTTGTCATTCAGTAAACCTACCATTTAAACGCACATGCTGTCTTTATATATCGCTGTCCTCCTTGTCGTCTTCACCAGCGTGGAAACAACAGAACAACAGACCGCAACAAAGAACTAATTTCTCTAAATGGAGGTTATTCTGCTTTATAATCCTTCCCCATTTCATGAGTCACTGGCTCCCCTCCCCCCTTGTCGTTCCTGTCATTGGTACAGTCCATAAATAGACACCTGGCTGCCATGGACGGACCAAGCACCGGAATAATACAGAATAAAGCATTTGGATGTGTGAAAGACAGATTAGAGAGCAGGGAAGATGGGAAGAGAGGGAGAGAGAGAGAGAGAGAGATGTTGTGTGGGAGGATGAGCGGAGGACAGAGGGAGCAAAGCAAGGCCGGGAAAAGAAGAAATCAGAATCAACCATAAATATATTTTTTTTTACATTTTTTATTACACACATGGATTACACGTACATAAATGGATATATTGTCATTGTATGCATGTAAGAAGGTTTTTTTGATAGTCATGGTGATTAAAAATAAGGCCTATGATCTCCTGAATTCTCTTTCAGAATACGGTTTGAAATGTTGTTTTTTTCCCAACCAGAAAGGTTAATAAGAGGAGGTTGTGTGTGTTTGAATTGTCAGTGGAGTTATGCCACCTTCCGCTCAGAACTGAGTGCATGTTTCTGCAAGAGAAGTGTGCACATAGAAGGACTTCTTCCTCCTTCTTTCTTTTTCTCAGCCTCTATTACCAGACATACCAAACATGGGCTGCATTCGTCTGCAAATTTAGCCTTGTGCTCGCAGTTTCAGAGCACAAACACGACGGAGTACAAACACGACATTCCCCACAGTGAAAAGAGACTGCTAGAGGGAAACCGAGTCCGTCAGAGACCCTTAGGGACGGTGTCCGCCTCCTCAGCTGAAAGCATGTGTCTCTTCAGCTATTCTCCTATGGTGACAGTCACTGTGCAGAGTTGGTTAAGATGACCCAAGTACATGGAAAGATGTGGCATCACCATGAGCTTGACATTTCTTCACTATTGTATGGATTGCCATCTTATTTGGTACAGATTTCTTTGTCCTTCTCAGGATGACTTGTAATCACTTTGGTGATGCCCTGACTTTTCATTTATGACCATCGTCAGGTCAAAGTTTCAGTGCTTTCAGTCTGAATTGAACACACACGGTTCTGTCATCACACTGTAGTTGCTATTTTAAAACGTGCTTCAAAATCTACATTTTTAAAATATTTCTGTGTCTCTCTGTTGCTTTTTAGATTTCTATCTACCACTTTCTTCCTTGTTCTGTTGTGACTGCAGGATATCAGTGTCGGATAGGAACCAGAAGATGTTTTATTAAAACACACAGAGAGATAATTACAATGACAGAGCAAAAGAAACACTGTCTAGAGAATAAGTAGGAAAAGAGAGGAGAACATTGGAGGTTCAATAGAAGGAAAAAAAAAAAAGGTTGAGTGCCAAGAGG